GAGTGTTCCTAAAAGTCAAACACAGTAGTAAGTTACAAAATACCGTATTTCTTAGTACATCCGGTTTATTATTTCAGTCGAAAATGATAAAAAAAGATGTTCAAACTCCTCGAGTTTGAAAACTTGATTAGAATTAATAGACAGTCCAAAAGAAATATTTCCACGGTCATTTTTAAAAAAATTTTTATTAATAAAAGATAGAAACCTACGGCTTCTATTATAGCTTTTCTTCTGGTTGGGGCTTTAACAGAAGGAACAGATAAATATTAAATTGAAATCAGAACTAATAATTTCATATTATTAAAAAGAAAATGAAGATTCACGATTCCAGAAATGAAAGATCTACTTTTAATCCGTAAAATGAACGCATTTGTCGGTGTCTAATTATATATCAGTTCTCCAAATGGATCATTTATTAAAAAAATAATCCACATAAATTAGACTCCGAGCTTTATACGCCTAAAAATAAGAATATAACTATGCAATGACGTAAACTAATCAAATCAATAAAACAAAAACTCAATTTTTATGTCATCTAAAATGATTAGATCATTTTAAACACATTCTGCAACTCCAGAATAAAATGACTTTATCCTTATTTAATTATACTACATTTATAATTAGCACCTGCATAAGCTATTCTTGTGATTATCTCAATAATGATTTTACTATATGAATGATGAAGGACAAATGTTATTATTTACCTGCTTGTAAAACTGTTTCATTCATATAATATGAATGAGGATTTTCAGTACTTAATCTTAATCTTGTTTCTTCTTCTTGATGAACAAGTTCAGCATTAGTTATCGATTCTTTCCATGATTTAAAAGCAAACATTAAATCTCGTAAACGTAATTCAGGTCGTCCAATTGATAATAATTGATAAATATCACTTGCCTAAAGAAAGAAAAACCAGCAACAACAACAATGATGGATTAACTAATTTCGATAATAATAAATAACTTACCGTAATTTCAATTTTTTTACATTTAAATATAAAATATTCCGGTACAATAAGTATACGTGATGAACAACAATTTGTACCATTTATATTAACTAATGGTGAACTAGATGATGGAAGTGATGATGAATTTACATTAAGATAATTTTCTACCTAAAGGTTAAAATAAGAATTCAATGAATAACATGCGCATTAATAGAATCGTGTGATAAAGAAAAACAATGACTACATTGTAAAATTAAGACAAGATTTAATATGTGGAAAATAGATATCATCAACGAAATATAGCTGAATATTTTATTATATGGATAATAAAAAGAACTCAAGCTCTTTTGATAATTATTAAGATTAAGAAAGGTTCCTTTAAAATATCTTCATTTGCCTCTGATGTGTCTCTTGTAGGATGTAGTGCCGAACCATTACGAATTCTTCTGACTCCTAGATTTATCTTAGAATAGTTCATTGCAGAGTAATCATCATCGACTATTCGTCGCGAATGTGTAAGTTTGAATAAGGATTTTTTTGCTTATCCTTACTATTGCACTCACACTCTGCGTCGGCTCTTGATGCTCCATTAGGATGCTTGAAGACTAATATATCATGCAACGAATTACCCTAGCACATCTTTATTCAGGCTCAAAGATTTAGATGTGTTTGACAATGAGAATTTAATTGATCAAAGTATTCTTCTATCTATCGTCAATATATGTTTGAAAAATCTAATCTATTAATTTAAGAAAAATTCGATTTGTGTTACTATATAGTTTCTTTAATAATATTGCAAAATGTTAGATTAATTTCTCTTAAAGCAAGTTATCTACACTGATGGTCATACTATATTTATTTTCGCTTGTTTTTTTTTAATACGAATATATTATTCTTTCTATTTAAGGAAAAATATCTACAATCAAGAAAATATGAAATTATAATATTTGATATATTTCATCATCGAATGATTTAAATCTAATTAATGGAATTTAGAAAACTAAATTTATATTTACATTGATAAATATAATAAAGTCATATATAGTTTACTATAATTAATAAATTCATTAAATTTTTTTTTTAACTATTCTCAAAATGAAAAAAAAACAAAACAAAATCT